GGCCTTCATTAAGATCCACTTTCACGCGACGTTCAATTAGGCCCATTCTGCGCGTTCGTTGTATGAATATTTAACCTGATTGTTCTCAAAACAAAAGAAGCGCTCCTAGCAAATCCATTTTTTTCTGTCTCCATTCGTAGAACAAAAAAAAAACCTAGAAAAGCCAATGGCGTTTCAATGCGTTAAACGGAATTGGGTTCTTTTAGGGTATTGAGGTAAATACATATTCGTAATCTGCATTAAAAATGGAACCCAAATCCAAAATTTCATCCATTTTGGTACACTGGAACTATTTTAAATAAGTACGATTACATTTGCAAAAATCACCTTATTAGCGCTCCTTGGTGTCACTTTGTATGGGAGCGAGCTGTCAGTTTGTCAGTTTAGTGTCAAACAGTGAAGTTATTATTTTGCTTTATATCTTGATTTAAAAATTGAAACTCGTAGAACGAGAAGCAGTGTCACATTTCTTACAATATCTCAATAGTTAGAGACTCTTTATCAAATCCAACGGTACGTATAGAAAGGTGAATAAATTTGGAAGTCATACATAGTGGAATCACTCCATTTTCGAGTTCATATCCGTTCGAAAAAGAGAGGTTAACTGTGGGTTATGCTTAGTAGGACCGAAATTAGATTCAAAACCCTAAGGTCTCTGATAAACGTACGCATTTCAATCACATTACATCCTTGTAAATATAAACTTTATCGTGTGAATCATTCCTTTTGAGAAAGATAAAAAATATATATGAATTAATGTTTAAAGGTAATCATATAATCATTTCTATACGCAAGTAGTAGGTATCATACATTCAGACGTTGCTCAACGGTCCTGAATAGCCTCACAAAATTTAAACCCCGTACAGACTATGGCTTATACCCCGTTCACATTACAGCCTATATCACGTAATATAGGCTGTCTTGCAATGAGCACTCATACATACATACATATAGGATTTCCAGTGAAAACTAGATGTATGAGTGCTCATTGTAAGACAGCCTATATTACATGATATAAGCCATAGTCTGTCTGGGGTATTATTCAGAAAAATATGCCGTTTATTGAATATTGCTGCAAATCAGCATACCAGGTGCTCAGAGTCTTCCTTTTCTATGCCACATAATCGACACATATCCTCTTGAAATTTTCCTATTAGCATCAAGTGATATTTACATGGACAATGTTCGTTATTTAACCAGTATAGACACTGAGATCTTTCTTTGACAATTCAAGAATTTTGCTAGTCATTGAAATGTTCGGATATATTGCTCATACACTAGCACGTGCGCTAGCAAATCCGCACAGAAGTAAACACCACATAAGGGGTTTACATTTTAGTCAATCCATGCCCTGAAACACGATGCATCCTCCTGTAAACATGAGCGTGACGATAATATTTAGGTAAAGTAATGGACGTGACCGTCATATCCTCTACCTAGCTATTAAATTTTCTCTTTGCTTCAACAAAATTACCATTGCCATAAAAAATAATCCATTCTCACAACCGTTGCCATCGTGATCGCAATCGAACAAGAACAGTTGTGTGATGCCGCCATCATGTCTACTTTGAATCACTCAGTCAGCAGGCAAAAAACAACCCCTTGAGTGGAAAATGGCGGAACCGCCGCGTGACAAATTACTGCCTGCCGAGCAGGTCTGGCCGACACCAGCTCACACGAACACCGCCTGCTGTGGATTTGCGCTGGGTTCATCGACCAATCAGACTTCTCGTTTTACAAGACAAATTAATTAACCTGATGCTGTTCACATATAAAAATAATTCTACCGACTAGAACCGTTAAGTAATAATTCTCGGCTCGTGAGTTAGTAGATTATCTAAAAGTGGGTATTCAATTTGAAAGTCGCGTTTTGAATCTTTCGTTTAATGGCGGAGGTTATTTTCAAATTGGCCAACGATTGGGTACCTATAATGTACATTATATCCCACAGCGGATCCGTAGCAACCATGGTGACGCGGGACGACCAACCTCTGCCAAGGGCTGCTTTGTTTGCGGATGATGCTTTTCGAAATTTTCAAACGACGTCGTCGTTCCGGCAGGCATAAACAAAGAAAGGTGCTGCTGCTGATGCGCGTTGAGATATTCAAGGCTGTCGCTGACCTCTCCCTTCAATCAAGGCGTGCCTGTCAAACCTAAAAGGAAAAATGTACGCAAAAGATTTATGGACTGTTTTTCCCCAAAGCAAGACTTAAAGTACGTCGTTCGGTTTAAAATAAACACTCGTTACCTTTTGAACGGTATTGAATCCCTGAATGTAGCTAGATAGGCAAATGATCTTTTTTTCTTAAAAATATTGATTCTTTTTTTTTCTAAGAACTCATATGTTGATTTTAAAATGTAGCAGTAACCTACCGTCATACTAGAGATGTGTTTTCGTGCCGAACCGTGCCTTGAGCTTGCACATTTTCGATTTTTCCGCACACTGACTATGCACACGATAAATCTTTCGGCTAAACCACAACGGCCGCCCACACGTTTCCCCGCGGACGATTTACGCGCATCACACGCTAAATACTGCTAAGGTAGTTGTACCCACGTTTGGCAAGCAGAACAGTTCCTTAACCCAGTGTAGCCCAAAGCCCTAAGTAGTGCCAATCCCAGTTAACAACGGTGGCCTGTCGTGATCGTTTAACCGCCCACCTTTAGGAACTATAACTACACCTCGCTCTAACGGGAGACAGATTTTCCGGCTTTTCTCGATTCGACGCTCGATCGTTAAGCTGACTGACGTCACAGCAAACCAACAGTGTAAAATGAAAACACATCCATTACGACCCACGATCGCACCGGCTTGTTGGGGATTCCCACAACACCTGTCACGATCACCTTGGTGCCATTAAGTCAAAAAAAAGCAAGCCGGTCACTGCGTGTTGGTTGATGAGGCGTAGTTTCCCGTGACCACTTGCTTTGATGCTTTCAGCAGTAGGCCATGAACTGATTCGCTTTGATTGCTGATTGCTAAAAGGAAGGAACAGCAACAGAAGCTGTAAAAAGGCAGACAGGAACGACTGCGGAATGCTTCCTGTTGACAAACCCGATAAAACAGAAGAGTAGGAAGCGAATTCAGCTCGTGATGTCGGATGACACAATAAAAGAACTTGACCCAGAGTTGGTGTACGCAAGTCGATGCAATCATGGTTCACTCTGTGCTACCTACATCGGTTGCTGCAATTGCCAAGAATAATTCGCTTGTTTACTACTAATGCTTGCGATCGGCAGAAGGCACACGACTTGACGCAAAGGAATTTCGCAAGGAATTCAACTGCCGTGTTCAGGTTTTCGACATCACCGACGAAATGCCGGGAAGGTATTTGCACTTTTCTTTGTTGCAATTTGCCGGTTCCGGGAACGCTACAAACTGCAGGTTAGTTGGAGATCAGGTCCATTTAGGTGGCCCAATTTACAAGAGATCGCACGCTCCCCTATAAAAGACATAAACCAATCAATCCGAAGTTGGTAAAGCTGCAGCACACGCGGTCAAATCAATCTATTTTCGTTCTGGGGTTTTTGAATTTATTTTCGCCTGGCAATACTTTTCCTTCACTTTTCGGCTTTCTACCCGCAAAACCCCTTAGCCCAGTTTGGATCGAGCGAGACGGGACTTTGGATGCAATTAAGATCTGCCAGCCGGCCGGTAAGCTCTATTTCCCTTGGATGGCAAACGTAAATTGGCAGTAACGAGAATTGGCTAATTTTAGACCCACCTATGCACGATTGTTGGTCAAAAAATGTGTCGCTTTTTCTTTATCAATTGTTGGTCGTTGCCAAATTGCACTCTTGAACTTGGCGCTACCACAGGTGAGCAAATCTATGCAACATTTGGCAATGGCCTACTACGAATCACCTGATCGACTCGAGGCCTACTCAGATCGAAGTATTCGCAGATACATAAACAACCGCAAATCGATTGACCTTGGATGGAGTTCAGAATCGTTTGACCCTGAATCTGTCATTCGCGCAACGTTCTGGCGTAAATATCAAAACAACGCCTAACCAAGCTTAACACAAGCTGATACACATAGGATTAACCATCGTCGTAGACGTGTCGGAGTTGGAAAATATGTTTACTTTGTAGCAGTGGCGTGTGCGTTATTTTTAGACACCCTGTGTGCGCACACTAGACATATACACAAAATCAGCTCCAAAACTCGAGAGCACTGAGCTAAACTGCCACGCATGACCCGATACCTACCCGCCCTATCCCACCATCACCATCATCATCATCGCCGCCGTCGCATCATTTCCTTAACGTCGACTACCGGCAGGGCGTGGGTAACACTTACTTCAAGGGTACTTTTATAGGTTTCCTAGGAAACGCTCTTTTGCACCCGGTTGCTGCGGTTGCGACGTCCCGTTGTCTGTCATGTTCCGAGTCAAAATGGATTATTGTTATTGTCCGGTGGGCGGGTGGTTGGATCGCGCGTGTTCAGAGTCGCGGTGAAAAACTTTCTCTATTTCACACACACTCATTTTATTTTCAAACCAACTGACGCAACCTGCATCAGCTGCTCGGTCTTTTTTTTCCAAAATATAAAAAAATGCGAATTTTCACCATGAACAACGCCGGTTAAATCGAACTCTATGATGGCTATTTCTGCAATTTTGCAAACTCTAACTACCCTACCCGCCGTCAGGTTGCACCCAGATGCCTGATGAATGGGACAGCTGACGAAAATTTGAGACCGACCCATCAATTCTGCCTGTCGTTATTTTCAGCCCGCGCGTCGACAAACACGTCACACTTTTTTCTTCGTCTTCTAGGCGAACAATGTACTGCCGGTGGACGCACAATTGGCCCATGTGTATATGAAACTCCACAGCACATGGGGCAATTATGCGTACCCCGGCAGCGTAGTCGTAGAGGCAAAAGAAAACCAAGCAATTACGATTAACACTTGCATTAGTATATTTTTTTTCATGACTTTTCTTCTCTTTTTACATTTTTATTTTTTATTTTGATTTATTTTTGTTTTGCTTCATTTTGTATAAAACGATACTGACGTGCTTAATTAAATTTGTTTCTGCTTTTCAACTTCTTTTTTTTTCTTACAGACAAAATTAATTTCATACACAATGGGAACGATCCACCACGGATTTATGTCCTTTGCTTTCATTTTTGTTAATGAACTAAACCAAGCAAAAAAGAAAAGAAACATCTAGTGTTTATACTTGTATTTTTGTGTGTATGTATGTGTGAACAGTCAAAACGTGTCCTCTTTCTTTCTTCCCTTTTGCTTATACTTCTTATACAAAAACAAATTAAACTGTTATTTCATTTTTATCACAGATCCCGACTCCCGCGGGCTACGTCTAACCTCCGTGGAGGGTGGAAATGAACAGAATATGATCGCCCGGTTGCAGAATGTACTCGGTTTCACCCTGTGGGAATTTGATAGAAAAAAAAGTCACATATTTATATTTTCAAACAGATGAATGAGGAGATTTTGAACTGCACTTACCATCAGATCCCAATCGGTGTCGTTGATCATGACCAGAATGCCAGGCCGCACGGTGTTCTCCTGCAGGAATAGGTTTTGGTCACCGGTGAGCAGGTTGTCCCGAAGCCATCGGAGCATTTCCTCCAGGAGCACTGAAATTGGATTAATGCATCAATTAGGTTAGGTGCATTGTGACAAGTAAATCAAATTTTCACTAACATTACTGAATATAAAAAGGTTTTCAGGTTCTTTTTGTCAGCATTTTACCACATTTTACCTTTCTCGTACACCTAGAGGTGTACTGAAAGGTTATACAGTAGTGTTCCGTTTTCGGCACGTTACGTTTTTAACATCTAACGCTTTCGTATTTGGCAGCAGAAAAGAGGCAAAGAAAATATAAGCTTGAGTCTACAAATGTGCCTCTCTAGGAATTTTCTTAAACAACTGGACGAATTAAAAATCCCAAAACTTCCAGTACAATCCCAAATCAAACCCTGAAGTTCCAAATTATCTACAAAGTTCGCTAAGGTTCTACAATTTTGGCCAAACTTCTACGAAGTTTCTTGAACTTCAAAAAAATGTCTACATTTAGGCGCAACTGCATAGTTTTTTTTTTAACATTATTAGAGAGATTTTTAGCCGTTGGCTAGTTCATCTCTATCAACGCAACTGCATTGAAAAAAAATAATTAAAAAGTAGAAGGGTCTGTGTCTGCACGAACGGAAGCTTGACGTAGGACCGCTAGTGGACGGAATATGTGAAGGCATTAAGTTCTTTTAATTGATCAAATATCTATTATCTCAACTCTTTCCGTTTTTGAATTGTAGGCGTACCAAATTTGTAGTAATCTTTTTCAAAGAGAAAGTTGATTACGAGAATCAATCAAAATCAATTGCACCCCTACTTCCAAGTTTGTGTGGTCGTTGGGGGCTTGTGATTCTGAATATGGACACACAGCAAAAAAATAATTTTGATATCACATCAAAGTGGATGCACTACAATCATGTCGAAAATTTCATGTAATTTTTATGACCACATAAATAAACAAATGCAGTAAAAGCAGCGTAATGTCAGTTCATGCATTGTATTAATGATAATTTTGTCCTTTTAAGCAAGTAATATTACACCATATTTTCGACATGATTGTAGTGCATCCACTTTGACGTGATACCAAAATTATTTTTTTGCTGTGCAAACAAGCAAAGATAAATTCTATTCCAACTCTTTACTAATGTAAGCTTGATGGCCCTGAAAAGGGCCGTTTTATTGAAGAGGACATCCATGGCCACTTACGCTTGGCGTGTTTAGTGTAGGTGACAGCATCACGGACCTCATTTTTCAGGAACACCTTGAACACACCTCGTAGATCGGACCGGAGATACGTCATACACCGCCACGGTGAGCCAGACGACGGATGGTGGTTATCTCGAAGAATTTGCGGTGACGATTGGCACCTCCTTTGCCACGACCAGTCAATTGTTGCTCGTTAGGTTATAGAAAAGTGGACTAACCACCTTCCTACTGCTGCTATTGCTGACCACGCCGTCCGAAGCGAAAATGAGCTGATACCAGTAGTAGTAGTAGTAGTAGTAAAATTTACGTTTATTTTCTGGGTTTTATGTTTCAACATTTGATTTAACATTTCAATTGGTTAGCCTTTGGCTCTTCATCTTTGTTCTAGTTAATTGGTTATTCTAATGTGATGATTGCGTTTAGCGCTAATTTACAGGATACCCTTTGTGGGATTGTTTTGGTTTGAATTTAAAAATTTGATAACCTACCTACTTGAGCACCTAACTACTTAAACTAGGTTGCCAAATCACGAATGATCTGGTGGTTTGATCGCAGACAGGCGACTCTGAACCTTTCCAGCGTGGAAGTCTTTCGCTCCTCGAGTGTTTGAAGACCGGCCAGGTGGTGAATCTCAGAACTACGAGTTCGCGGTGGACTGTTAAGGATCATTCTGAGGATCTTGTTTTGGATCCTCTGAAGCTTTAAGTGGTGGCACTTTGCACAACTCTCCCAGATTGGCATACCATACTCAATAGCCGGCAGAATGATTTGCTTGTGGACAGCAAGCTTGTTTTTGAGGGACAGGGTGGACTTCCTGTTTATCAGAGGGTAGAGCGACCTGATCAAGATGTTACACTTGGTGGATGTCTTGTCCACATGGGATCGGAATAGTAATTTGCTATCGAGGGTGAGACCAAGGTAGACTACTTCACTCGACCATTCAATGGGAGTGCTATCAAGATGGATCTTGACGTTAGCAGGCGGAACAAGCCGAGGTGAATACGAATGTGGAAACAGAATGGTTTGTGTTTTAGCTGCATTGATACAAATCTTCCAGCTCTTAAAATAGTCGGACAAAACATCCAGGCCTGATTGTAGTTTACTCGCCAGAGCACGGATCACTCGACCCTTATAGATGATGGAGGTGTCATCTGCGAACATTGACAGGATACCACCACCCGGCAGGGGAGGAACGTCTGACGTGAAAATGTTGAATAGGATAGGCCCAAGCAGGCTACCTTGAGGGACCCCTGCATCAACGTTGAACGTATCAGAGGAGACATTGTTCAAGTAGACCTGGAATGATCTGCCCGACAAGTAGTTTTTGATGATCTTCACAAGGTAGTTCGGAAAGTTGTATCGATGCAGCTTGTACACTAGACCATCATGCCAGACATTGTCGAACGCCTTCTCGACGTCCAACAATGCCATGGCGAATGTATTGGAAACGGACTTGTTCCGCTTGATGATGTTAGTAACCCGTGCGAGTTGGTGGATGGTAGAGTGGCCTTTCCTAAACCCGAATTGCTCTTTGAGAAAGATGTTATTATCATTTGAAAACACCAGCAGACGGCTGAGTATCAATTTTTCGAATAGCTTCGAGATGGAGGACAAGAGGCTGATGGGGCGATAGCTTTTGGCACTGGTAGGGTCTTTGCCAGGTTTGTGAATTGGAATAACTTTGGCTAACTTCCAGCATGCAGGGAAGTAGCCAAGCATTAAACACTTGTTGAAGACCACTGCAAGGTGCTTGAAGAAGTCAACACTCAAGTTTTTCAGCTCGAGGTTGACCACTCCATCGACACCAGCGGCCTTCATGTTCTTTGTTGATTTAATCGCTGCTATCACCTCATCAGCCGATATTCTACTTTCGTCAGGGACAACTACGGGGGTGGCAGCGACACTAGCCATTGCCTGTGATACTGCAGGCTCGTGGGGACTCACCATGGCGTGGCCAAGGTTATGTGAATTTACAAAGTGTTGTCCAAGAGCATTGGCCTTTTCAAATGGGGTTATTAGTAAAGATGGGTCCGAATTTTGGTTAGGAGAGGAAAGGGGAGGAATGGGCCTCGGCTTATTTTTCAAAATCTTTGCCATTTTCCAGAATGGCTTAGCACAATCTGGGAGAGAGCGAATCTTGTTTGCAAAATCGATATTTCTGAGATCCACCATCCTGGCTTGGATGATTTTGTTCAAACGGTTGCAATTGGTCTTCAGGTTAGGCAGCCCAGTACGCTGGTACTGCCTACGAATCGTGTTGCGGAGTCTAATGAGGTCTTTAGTAGGCCTGTCAAGGTTCAGAGTATTACTCACCTGTCTGGATACTGGCACATGTAGCTCCCTGGCCCGGGAAATTGCTTGATCGATGGAGCGCAGACACCGGTCAACATCTTCGGACGATTCCGGTTGGACATCGTAGTCTACAGCGGTGTCGACGCAATGTTGGAACTGACCCCAGTCAACACGATGATAGTTGCGCCGGAAAGCTTCAAATCGATTTACGGAGGATCCCACCTCAGTCACCACCGGGTAGTGGTCCGAGCTGAGTTCCTGATAGGTGATAGGTTGAGCGATGTTGTTGCCCATGTTGCTGATGAAGATATCGATGGTAGCGTGAACACCGGACCGACTCAACCGGGTGGGAGTTTCCGGACTCAAGATGTTGTACTGCGCTTCCTGCAGGTCGTTGTTCAGGATAATGCCGTTTTGATTGCGCCGATTGTTGCCCCAAGCTTGATGTTTGGCGTTCAGGTCACCAGCGATGATAAAGTTTTCCCGTCGTCGTGTTAGCTTGATAATATCTCGTCGCAGATCTGCTGCCGATCCGTCCCTGATGTTGACTTGTTTGGGGCAGTAAGCCGCGACGATGGTGATGGGGCCGATAGGAGTAGAAACTTCCACCCCTACGGCTTCGATGATCTTCAGCTGAAAGCTGGGCATCAGTCGACAGCAGATGTTTCTCCTTATTGCAATAGCCACTCCTCCTCCTCCAGAGTTGGTTCGATCTAGCCTCACGAGCCGGAAATCGGGAAGGTAGACGTTTGTTTCAGGCTTCAGGTGGGTTTCAGTTATGATGGCAATGTCGATGTTTCGTTCATTGAGAAACTCAACAAACTCGATGTTTTTGCTCTTCAAGGAGCAAGCGTTCCAATTTACGATCTTGATGGCTTCACGGTCCATACTTAGTGACAAGGGACAGGGCAGCATGAAGCTGTTCAGATCGAGTCTTGCAGGTGCGCAAGATGATGATGACTTCGGCCACGAGCGTCACAAGTTCCTCCGAGGAGAACGGAGAATCGTCGACAGGCTCACCTGAGACAACACCAGCGTATGATAAACCAGGGGCGGTGGAGGGACCTGGCATTGGCTGGGCAGCAGCAGCAGCGAGACGATGTTGGACTGTTCGATTGTTAGGAATACTCACATGCTTGACTTGTTGGTTGTTGAGCGGAAGTGGTTCTAAGTTCGGAACATGTCGACGGGGCTGGAGAGCTGGGTACTGGACTTCCGTGCGTGCAGGAGGCGAACGATGATTACGGAGGCGACCGGGCTGATTATTGATCGTAGCCTTCCGACGGATATTGATGAACTCCACTCGCTTGGGACATCCGCGATTGGAGGCTTGGTGGTTACCACCGCAGTTGACACACGTTGGCTCGATGTCATCATCTTGCTCACAGGACGCAGTCGAGTGAGTTCCAGCACACTTGCCGCAGATAGTCTTCATATGGCAGTTTTTGGTGCCATGGCCGTAGGAGAGGCAGTTCATACACTGCGTAACATCACGATGTTGGGATTTGTAATGTTCCCAACTGATGATGACCTGAAACAGGTCCCGGATTTTGGATCTCAGAGCTGC